CATCAATCAAAAATTTGCAAATCGATGACTAAAATCAATACTGTTAATACCCCTGTTTTATAAATTTGTTTTCCAATAGCTTGCTTGGTTTAAGAGATTGTTCCTTCGTAGAGTATGATCCTGCGTATCGAATAATTTGAGACATAAACATCACATATGACGTGTTCTAGGTACATGTGTATAGTGCTACAGAAGAGAGGGAAGTTGACGATTAAAAAGGCATCAACTTATCATACAGCTTTGTTGTTAGGTTACCATTAACGTTTTTGTAGTAAAATATGCAATTATAAAACAGATGTATATCAGACTCTGTGATATCTTTTAGTTGAAGTTCACTAGGAAATATGGAAGTAACTATTACATGTATTTCTTGAAAATACATCGTCGATATATCTCAACGTTGAATTGTATACCACAGCAGCATTTTCTTATTCTCGTGTAGAAGTGTTTGAAAAATTCTGCTTCAAATGAATACAAAAAGGTCTTCTAACAACGGTGCGCAATTGATACCCATGAAAATTCCAAGAAACTCTAGAATCTTTTAATATCAACTTCAAAGTACTTGTGTGTACAATCAAAATATTCTTAACAAAATAATTTTGCCAATGACCAATGATAAAATAAGAATAAATATAAGATCCATTTGTATTTATCTGTCTAACATTTAAGAAATCCTGGGCTTTAATTAATAGCTGTTAAGAATATTGATATCAAGTCTTAAATAATCCTTTGGATTTCTCATTAGTATTAATGGTGTCCCATGATACGTATACTAGTTACATGAAGAAAACGTCTCTTTTGCGGCATTCATTTTAGAGTTTAAGATAAATCGACGACTTGTTCTGAATTAATTTTAATATATTTATTTTCATTACGAATTAGATTTGATAAATCCGATCGAAAATGAGTAAAAGTAAAAAAAAAAAAAAGTAGATAAAAGTCTTACACATCTGCGTTATGTCTGAATACTCTTCTAGGCATAATTCATGTGATACTAAAGACTAAACCTCCGGAAAAATGGGATGGCTTTGAAAATTTTACAGCTTATTATATTATTTATATAGCAATTTGTTAATCGTATGTGATTTTTTCTGATATTTTGTCATTTTGTTTCTCATAAAATTCACCTGGCTTGGTCTATTTTTGAAAAAGTTTATATTACACTTTCAGCACCAAACTAACATATTCTAAAAATTGTTTTCGCCTGTAAACCTTTACTAAGTGTGATTTGTCCACATTTGTTATTTTATTGAAATATTACTAATGTTTTCTAAGTCTAATTCATTTTCCAAGTCTTAGGAGGAAAAAATTCTAAGAATTATCTATTTTTCTAAATCTGTGACATGGTATTATGTCTCCCCCAAGGAAAACAATTGTTTGTATCATCTGTCCTTTACATGTTTTGCGTATCAATTCGTTTGGAGGCAGAGATACTTATTGGATAATGCTACAAAACATGGTATGTTGATGGAAAAGCTGAAATCATCCATTTTTAAAATACCTGTTTTGTTAATCTGCCATAATCATCGTAAACAGTAAAACAGCTAAACACGAAACAGATGTAATGTTCAGACTTTGTGATTTCTCTTTGAGTTCATATGGATATACATGTAAATTGAGAACACATGTAACTTAAAATGAATATTGTTGATTATTAAATCATTATGATAAAATATATTTTAAGTTTTTTTTCTTTCCATGCAGATTTTATTTTTTGAAATATTAAGATTATGAGCATGGATCCTGCTTCAACGCCAAAAAAAAAAAAAAAAAAAAAAAAAAAAAAAATACTGAGTCGAACACAATCAAAGGTGGAATCGGGTGCCATGGAGAAGAAAACATACCCTGTCGACCGGTCTCATCCGCCGTGTGTCCTTATCGTGAACGGTTGGTAAACGAAAAAAAAAACGAAGGCAATTAAGCATGAACATGGCTTAAACATTTCATGGCTTAAATATGGTAGAGTCAATTCGATCAAGAAAGCTTATGTTATGAAACTGAAAAACTTTTAATTAACACCATTATTTTGGGCTTGGTAATGGAAAGAAAGCCAGTCAATTTTGGAGCTCCGGCAACATTTTTTCAACCTGCACTACTTCTGTTTGAAATTCACAATGATTTATCATTTAAACAGAGAATTTGTGAAAGACTAATCGCAAGATAAACAAGATGTTTGAGTTTCATTTTAATATTGTTTAAAGAAGCAGTTCTCTAATGTATGAAAATGCTTGATATAAATTAATTGTGAGGAAGGATTCATTATCTTTTTATAGGATGTAAGATTGAATTTCTTATTTACGAGTTTTAGTAAACACTTAAATAATCTAGATGTACAGAGACAGATGTTGCCAGAAAGCGTTTACATACATATGTATATACAGATGATAATCGGACAGGCAAAGGCATATCAACCAAATTGTAAATGTTATACAGAACAGGCTAGATGTTCTCTATTCAATATAGATAATATGAAGTTTCACAATATGTTTTAATCTGTATCAACTTAAAACGTGTTCATTTCCCTGTTACTTGTCCAATCAGCATATTAATCACAACTAATACACAATAAATAAGGCGTTTTAATATAAATTTTGATAAACATGGTGGAGGTGAATGAAAAATATAAAACATATAAAACAAATGATGTGTATAAAATTTTCAAAGTAAATACTTAAAACATAACGATATTTTACAACCAGTCTGATTCTTCAAGCTCTTAGTCTCCCTTCTCTTGTCGTTCTGTTTCTGGTCCCTGTGTTCCGAATCCCCCCTTTTTTCAGTCCATGGGTTCCGAATCCCTCTTCTCAGTCATTACATAACGATATTTTTCAACAAGTCTGATTCTCCTGGTTTTAGACTTCATTCTCTTGTCCTCCTTTTCCTTGTCTCTGTGTTCCGAAGCCCTCTTTTCTCAGTCCCCGTGCTATGAATCCCTCTTTTCTCAGTCCCCGTGCTATGAATCCCTCTTTTCTCAGTCCCCGTGCTATGAATCCCTCTTTTCTCAGTCCCCGTGCTATGAATCCCTGTTTTCTCAGTCTCCGTGTTCTGAATCCCTCTTTTGTAGTCCCCGGGTTCCAAATCCCTCTTTCCTCAATCCTTGTGTTATGAATCCCTCTCTTCGTAGTCCCCGTGTTACGAAGCCGTCTTTTCTCAGTCCCCGTGTTATGAATCCCTCTTTTCTCAGTCCTCTTGTTTCTCAGTCCCTTTTCTTAGTCCCCATTTTCCGATTCCTTCTTCCCTCAGTCCCCAATTTCCAAATCCCTCTTATCTCAGTCCCCGTGTTTCAAATCCCTCTTTTCGTAGTTCCCGTGTTCCAAATTCCTCTTTTATTAGTCCCCATCTTTCGAATCTCTCTTTTTTCAGACCCCGTGTTCCTAATCCATTTTCTTTCCATTTTCTTAGTTAGATAAACATTTTGTTATTAAAGACGAAATAATAATTTATCTTAATAATACAATGTGAAAGAGACTTATTTCTAATGATATGTATATATGTCTACCTTTCTTTTGTAGTGAAAGTACTTTCTCGTGATATGTATACATGTCTTCGTTTCTTTCGTAGTGCAATGTACTTGACACACACCGGGTACATGACGTAGTTTTCTATATGTGTGAAACACCCCCACCCGAGAAAAGAAAAGGGTTGTAATTACTACTAGTCATAAATTGATATATATTTAACAATGTATAGTACTGGAAAGATTATAATTAAATATTATCAATGTAAATCGAAGTTGTAGGAGTCATATAAATACAGTGAACAATTCTATATACGTAAATGTGTGATTAATTATTTCAATAATCGGTCAATGCATTACATATCCGTGCTGAAGTCTATTTCTGATCAGACATCAAAGACAAAGTATGCAGAATGAGTAAGATTACCAGCTATATTTGAACATTCATGTAATGTGCACCTAAACTAATAGAAATTTTATTTTACTCGGCGTTTTTGAACACTTTCTCCACGCTGAAGCATGCGATAGTATACTTGATGGAAGAAGGATAACTTGATCAGAGAGAAGTGAAGCACCCACTACTGCCGTGTTAAAACTGGGGGGGGGAGAGTTTTGTCAACAGACTTTTTGTATCTCTATTTACAAAATGATATTGACAGGCAGCAACCTGCAGGTTGATGAACTCCGATTTAGACCCCAGGGCCTTTTTGATTTTTTCCTCAAAAGTTATTATTCAATAACATACTTGTGACCAACAATTTGAAAATTTACCTAAAATAAACATTTTACAAAATATACCCCACTCTCTATACATAAATCAATACTGTAAAATCACATATTTTTGAGGGATCAAATTTTCGTGGTTTGAGGAATATTTATTGTTTCTTGGGGATTTCATTTCGAGGATGAAGAATTGTTCATTAGTAATATATGCGAAAAATTATTGCATTCCGTGGTGGACATAAATTCGTGGGTCTCTTCCTACATGTACCTTGCAGACCATAAAAATTAAACTCCACGAAAATTAGTGATTTCACAGTAAGTAGAAAAATATGTTAAGCGGGGTAAAAAAAATCATAAAATGTTTTTTTAAGGTAAATTTTCGAATTGTTAGTAAAGATAATATCACTAATGTGTTTTCCATATATTATTTTTGAGATGAAAGTTAAAAATGGCCGATGGTCTTTATCCCGGGGATCGTGGGTGGGGGGTGCTATCCTCAAGCACCTGTGTTCGATACAGGAATAAACAACTGTTCACCATGGGTGCTTCAGGACTATAAAAGTCTGTTGCGCAAAATGTTAACCTATAGCGGGTCTTGTCTATTTAAACCTAAGATCAAATGATAATTGTTTGAAATGCCATAATTCATTGTCGGTCTCCTGTCATGCCCTCATTTAATTTAACGTTATAAACATTACATACAATATACTTAGTCTTCAGTTTAGTTTCTCTTTAAATTCTCAGTAATTTATATTTAAACAAAAACTGCTTTTTCCAAAAATGCCCAACCAGTTATCATAAAATTGGGGAATTGTTAAGGATGGCGGAACCAGCTAGTACAGAACTATCAGATGTCAGGAAAGAACGTTTTAATTTGAATTTATTTTATCTTAAGAGTGAAGAATCAGTACACAAATTTATCAGGAAGTTACCGGGAACAATAAAATTCATTGATGCGAAAAGGTTGGAAAGAGGTAAGTTTTTTTGGGTATCTAAGAAATAGAAATTGCTTTATTTACAATGAAAAGAAAATCATTGTTCCGGTGTAATTTTCGAGTCTGTTGGTTGGTTAGTTTCTCTTTAATTTTTTTTAAAATTAAATAGGAAGAAAGACAGACATGTCTACCGTGTAATTATGAGCAGAAATAAACATAACGATGTCCAGAATGCTATGTTTTTGTGATACAAACGTAGCAGTTTCCTTAATTTTTTTAATACATACAATCGCCCGAATCTTCACTAATCAAGAGTTTTCGGTTCGATCCGCTCCCCTAGAATAGCGAAGATGCCATATGAGTGAAAAATACTCTAGACAGACCTTAAACAACAATCAAACAAACAAATATACACATACATGTACATGAACGTTTAGTACAATTATTAGGTCTTATGTTTATATTTCTTTAGATGACATCCATACCTATGCTGACCATAAGATCTCGTATAATGTGATCTTTGAATCGTCAATGGATAATGCACTGGTGTTGTCGGAAGTCTTAAAACTATGGGAGATAAATCTACGATCGATAGAAAGTATGTCTTGGTTGCAACTTCTTCCAAGAAAAAGACTATCTTGCATGTCTCCCCAACAGTCACGAGAAATTTTAGAAAAGGTTGAAATTCTTGGTGGAAGCATGATCTCTCCGATTAATTTTGTAAGGCACTGGGAAACAGTTGCATCCGTTGCATCCGTTGAATTTCAACAGGACAAGTCTTTGTTGGTCATTGCAAACTCTGAAATTAAGATGGAAATAAACATGTGGTATAACTTTCTCCACAACTTTATTATAGTTGATTTACAAGAAAGTGAAACAATTTTCTACATCAATGTGAAGTCTACACCAAAATTATTTCAAAATACAGACTTTCATTCGTACGAGGGAACAAAAAGAATACCAGCCAGTGAATATGGATATGAAAAGTTTGGACACTTAGACTGTTTTTGCATAAGGTTTAAGAAAAATAGCACGATTGTTTCTAGAATCAGTTGTTTTTTGCAGTGTGTGGATATTTCCATTGCTTATGCTTGCATGAAGGTTGACAATTGCCAAGACGAGGTTACGGTAGATTTTGAAGGGTTTGAAATGGCATATGCATGGAAATCAATGTGCTCACAGGGTTTTAAAGTTGTTGACCATCTAACTCCTTCAGTCGTTGAGAAAATAGTTCAAATGGGAGTCAGTTCGCATATGTTGTGCATAATGGTAGAAAATATTGCAGAAAAACCATTCATTAATTTCATGGATGAATTTTCGAAAGCGACTGAAATGACAAAACAGTTAAAGGAGGAGGATGTTCCTCGGCATTATTTAATGGTTAGGCGAGTTTTGTTGACACCTTCAAAGTGTGTATTACTCCCAAAGGAGCCAATACTTCAGAATGGAATTGTACGCCAGTACAATGAAGATTACTTCTTAAGGCTTGCATATCGCGATGAGGATTACAAAAGGCTTAATGCTATGCAGCCCTATGGATTAGATTGCATTTTTGCAGACTTGAAACGATTCTTCAATAAAGGTTTGACAATTTATGATCGCCACTACGAATTATTAGGATGTTCAAATGGACAACTTCGAGAGCATGGTTTTTGGTTCTATAGCTCTCATGATGGGATCACAGCAGCCTTTATAAGAGAAAAACACGGTAACTTCTCTGAAGAGAGGAGTTTTGCATCCTACGTTTCGCATTTTGGACTCAGCTTCTCTGAATATAACCTCAAGTTAGATGCTAAAATATGTACAGAGGAAGTGATCTATGATAGAGAATTTCAAATGAGTGGGATTTGTCTCATAGATTGCATTGGAAAGATCTCAACCAAAACAGCTACCGAGGTAATTACTGAATTTTAGTAATAACTAGATAATAAAATTGTGACACCAAATTTAAGAGAACTTATATATATATCTTTTTCAAATTGTAATTTAGATAGCAAAAGAAATGAACATAAAAGCTGTACCGTCTGCTTTTCAAATACACTACAATGGATGTAAAGGTGTAGTGGTACAAGATCCGTTACTAGAACAAGGAATAACTCTATTCATTAGGCAGAGTCTGAAAAGACATCAATCAAGTTCTTCATGTTTGGAGATTTTAAAGACATCATACCCAGGTATTTACTTTTGTTCTTTGCTTTACAAAGCTTTTGTACTAAATCAATAATACTTTATTTATTAGGCATTTGTTCTTTATCTTAAATAACATTCCACCACTGAAATTCTTAAAGGAGGACCGTGTTTGCTCTGCTCCAATTTTGTATTGTTTAATGGACACTTGAGATTGAATGCTGTTCGTTTTCTTATTTTTGTATTCATATGAAGCAGAATTTATGCAAAATCTTATGCGTGAAAAGAAGAAAGAGCTTGTGGCCTTCAACTCGACATTTAGATATATCGACGACGTATTGTCAATTAACAATAGTAATTTCCATTCCTATGTCGAAACGATATATCCTGGTGATCTTGAGATAAAAGATACCACAGAGTCTGACACTTCTGTTTCATACTTGGATATTTTACTTGAAAAAGACATTAATGGTAATCTAACAACCAAGCTCTATGATAAACATGATGACTTTAACTTTCCTGTCGTCATCTTTCCTTACCTGCAGCAATACCTTCATCACCTGCATACGGAGTTTACATATCTCAGTTGATTCGCTACGCTAGAGCACGCTCTACCTATGAACAATTTCTAAAACGAGGTATATTATTGACAAACAAGTTGATGAAACAAGACTATCAGCAGTCTCGTTTAAAGTCATCATTTCGTACGTTCTATGGTCGATACCATGACCTTGTCAGCAAATACAATTTATCACTGAGTCAAATGCTGATCTGTGGCTGACGTTTTTCATATTAATTATTAGTCCATTATTTATGCACTGAATTGACGACGGATTTTCCGTTATTTACCGATCATGAAAAGGAGCAATGCGCGGGTGTGAACGGTCGGCAGGGGATGCTCACTCCTCCATGGTACCTGATCCCACGTCTGATGTTTTGGAGGTTCGTGTTTGCTCTGCTCCTATTTTGCAAATTGTATTTTTATGGACTTTGATATTGAATACTGTTCGTTATCTCCATATCCTCCATATATCTCATAAAATAGGTAGGATCACTTTGTCCATTAAATCATTGAGCAATTATCTAACCAAGTCCCAATATCCCATTTCAAACATCAATATAAAGTAGAGACTTGAGTGCCTACTTTTCTCAGAAAAAGGTTTCAGCTAAAAGTCTATAAATTGAAGCAAGGCACGGTGAAATTGCACTCTTCTTGAATTTTGAAGATAGTGGGTGCATTTGAATACATTTAGCATGTTTAGCAAAGAATTTAAATATCTGAAAAAAAAAACATGGATTATAATCTTCTGAAACAGTTCTTTTATTTGATAATTGAACATTTTGGGTCAGGTTTTTTGATTAATATCTAAAAAAAAAAAATAATAAAATAAATAAAAAGCAGCTAAAAAGTGTGGACATGATCAGAATTTTATGATAATGATACAATTCATTACATCATGATACATTTTCCTGCGAGCAATTTAATGCCCTGTTCACACGACGAGTTTAATTCGCAGTAAATTAGTGCGAAGTAAACTAATGCGAATCAAATTAATGCGAATTAAATTGCGTTCACACGACAGCTAATGCGAAGTAAACTAATGCGAATTAAAATTTTTATTCTACAGTCAGGCGTCAGTAAGTCTACTATGACGTCATTTGTAAATCACGTCATGTATGCAGAGCTATCCTTTGATACATCATGTAGAGGCTACAGGTATTCAATGATTTTAGTGATTAACATACTTTCCCTCAATTTTTGAACCAAATGTAGCACAATTACCTATATATAACCACCAACACGTGTCCTGTGGCTTAATTCTGGCCTTACGCATGCGTCAAAATTTAATTCGAATTAGCTTCGCTTAGCGTTCACACGGAGCAAATGCGAAGTAATTTAATGCGCATTAAACTAATTCGAATTAAACTAATTCGCATTAAATTCTCCGTGTGAACGCTAAGCGAAGCTAATTCGCAGTAAACTTACGTTTAATTCGAATTAAACTCTCCGTGTGAACAGGGCATTAAGCAATATGCAGTCACCAAGTATTCAAATGTATACTATGTATTTTCTAGTCAACTAAAAAAGCAGCTTTGATTTTCCAGAAATTCACAGTGCCAAAAAGCCCTAAGTGAACTTTGTTCTCTTGAAATCTATATGTAATACATCACGAGATGCTTATGTTTGTTGTACTTATACTCAAATAAACATAGAGTGTACTCACGATGAAATTTATCGGCTTATTATTAAAGATATGTATGCCGTGTTAAACAGTATTTTTGCACAGCTGAAACCGAACAAAAATTTCTGGAGTATGATAAGCTACCAAAAATGAAGCATCCTTGCAAATTCGACGAAATTTTATTCGGTATTAACAAAGTACTGATCAGGAAAAGAACACGATATTCTCATGCATATTTATAAAGGACTGACGTTTATCCTGGATCTGCGCATGTGCGCTGGAAAAGCATCGCAAGAATCATCAGGTCGAGGAAAATATTTTTTGTGACGTCTGTTCAGTGAGGGACACAAATAGACCAATCAGCTCGATGAGTTGCATTTATGGGTTACTACATAAAATACTACATGTGTTTTTCAAAAAGGCTAGTTTTTTAAATCGCTCTCAGAAAGACTTGTTGCATTATGTACATTATTATCAATTAATCCCATGCTCATATTTGCATACAAATGATTAACAATGATGAAAAATTAAAGTTTTCCTCACTTCATTGTACAGGTCCGTTTGTTTAGAGTTTCCCCGTGCTGTACTGCTAGTGGACATTTTCGGTTGGGTGAACATTTACGGATCTTCAGTATGGAGCGCATTATGCGCAAAAGATATTTTATGTCAAGTACAATGTATGGAAAGTAATTTAATCTACTATGTTTACACCCTGAATGGGATATCGTCAATAATCCCTTTTGGTTTTTTAATATGAACTACAAAACATATGTAGATGAAACTTACATACCATACATCTTGCCTTCTTAGAAATATAGATGGGCTAATAAAATAAAATTGGTCAAGGAATTCCAGGCCTCTAAAAACTATTCCAGTTTGAGGGCACAACCAAGCATTTCGATAAACACCATTAAGAAAAATTAATTCAGGTAGGTAGCATCGGTTTTTTAAAGTGGGTGGGGGGATAGAACAGTTAGAATAAAAATCAACTAGCTCGAAGAAATCTGACAAGTAAAATAGGTTCCAATATCTATCGGTACTTAATTTTATTCATTCACTACAATATACTGCCAAACTCCAAATTTCACTTTCGAATTAGCACGAGCCAATGCTGATAACCTACTTGCAAGATTTTTTATATTCTTTTCAAGGGGTCAGAAATACTGTGGTTCATATGTAAAGAATATAATTATATTATTTAGTAGTATTCTGGTTTTGGCATTCGGTATATTGTGCAGATTTATACATGATATTCTGTGGAATACTTTTTGTTGTTTTGAACCAATAAGAAATGCAGAATCGAATGTATCTAATAACCATTTTGATTGATCAAATTATATCATTTGTTTGTATTGGTTATTTTATTTTGGCACAACATGGTTTCCACACTTCTTTATCCATAGTCGCTGACAGCTGTAGAAGTTCACCCAACCGAAAATGTCCATTGAAAAGACAATTGCACGTGATTATTCCTCGGTACAAAAAGCAACCAACTCTTAGGTGCTCTCAATATTGACAATCCCTAACTCACGTGTTTGTAGTAAAAACGTAGTAGACCATCATGCTTTTCGGTTCATTCACAAGATTGCACCATTGTTTGCTGTAAACATGCGAGACAACGTGATCAGGAATATTTCAATAAGAGGCGGTTTTTTATCCGACACGGAGAGAAAATAATATTTACCAAATAATATTTCATAACTTTTAAAAGTGATGGAGTGGAATTGTCTTATTTGCAGAAAGTATATAACTTATATAACTTGATGAGACACCACATATATTTATTACTTTTAAAATAAAATACTAATACGGCATATATAGCTTTAACTTATTTGAAAAATACTTTAATGATTCATTTTACAGGACGACTTTATTTAAACCGAAAAATAATATCATTACTCTCTGGATTTGGGGTTCCAGACGATGCATTCCAGGATCTCCAAGAATCGATGTTGTTTGAATTGGCGGACATGCTTCTTTACGATGAAAAGGCTTTGACAATTTTGAAAGAGGTAATGTTTTGCTGAAGTCTAAAAATTTTGAAATTCAATTTCAGGTTAGCCTCGGTGATATTTACATGCTAAACCTAAGCAAAACAGTTTTTTTCAATATGAATAAATAGAAAAAAATATTTAAAAAAATGAAAATTTATAACACATTTTTTTTTTATTAAAAAAGATAAATAAAATTAAAATTCAGTAAAGAAATGAACCTTTGTATGACAAGATTAACATACAAGTGTCTATACTTTATTTTAACGAGGCTGGGGTGTGGCAGCCATTTTCAGACTATTTTTATCTCCTTTAAAAGGAGAGCTCCATAAGAAGATATAGAAAATGATCAAATTTTAAAACTAAAATGTATGAATTTTTTCTTTGTGAAATGATAGTAGACAGCTAAAGTTACCGTATCTAAAAAAAATACGTTAAATCTGGTGGTTAATTTGTGATTAATTTGTTGACCCCCCAGCCTCCTTAATGAAAACTATATGATCAACCATTGTATGTTCTGTTCTTGTACACAAGTCATACTAAATTTTAAGTTGATTTTAACATATTTTTCATAACTTACAGATATCTTTGGACATAAAATTTCAAAATTTATTCGAAAAAGGAATAAGTTTTGTTCGGGAACCCTTCTTCAGGTCTCTACTATTAAGAGTTTACCACCATAGACTCGATGATTTAAAACAGAGGACAAGGATTCAGATAGATGTAGATAAAGGCCGTAACATGATCGGTACTTCTGATAAAAGTAGATCACTGAAATATGGACAAGTGTTTATTCAATATTCAAAAGACCCATCTGATGCTGGGAAAAAGCTGCAAATTGTATTGGGTAAAGTCTTGGTCACAAAATATCCCAGTATTCATCCAGAAGATCTTCAAATATTTGAAGCTGTAGATGTTCCTGGCCTCAGGCATGTGGTCGACTGTATTGTTTTTCCACAATGTGGTCCACGTCCATTTCGAGATGAAATGTCCCCATCAGATGATATTTATGGTGATGAGTATTTCGTTCTTTGGGATAAACGGTTTCTTATACTTAAAAACAAGATAAATTCTCAAAATGATTCAGAAGAGAAATTGGCCTCGGATGTTCAAGGAACAAACATGGCTGACTTTTTGGTGAATTACTTAAAGAATGATCACCTAGAAATCATAGCAGAGTCCCATTTAGCGAGGTCTGATAGTGAACAGGAAGGTATTTTTTCAGACTGTTGTATTGAACTAGCTGAAATGTATTCTGGCGTTCTTGATTGTCTACAAACGGGTAAAAGTCCACAAATCCGCACAGAGTTCCTTCCCCAAAAGTATCCCGATTTCATGATGAAAAGAGATAAAATCTTATATTACTCTTCCAGAATTCTCGGAAAACTATTCCGTCAAAATCAGATGTTGCAGCAGAACATATTAAGAGAGAAAACTTTCGAATTCGCTGCTGACGAAGACTTAATATTGCTTCCTTCCGAAGAAGAATGTAGGCATGCAATTTTACAAAGAAATCTTTACAATGACAAACTGTTGAGAATAATGAAAAGATATGGGATAAAAGACGAATCTGCAGCTATTACTGGTTTGATACAAGATTTGATAAGTGGGAAAGGTTACTCAGATGACGAGAAGATTCAGATTGGAAAGATAGTTAGAGACCAAATATCCCTATTATTTAGAAAAACAAGAGTTATTTTCTTTGAAGAGTTTGGTGGAGAAAGAAGCCGTTTTTCACTTGAATCAGCAAGTCAAATATTTAGAAAGGCCTCTATTTGGTATACCGTCACGTACAAAATGTCGAGCCCTCGATTTTTAAGTTTTCCTTGGGTTGTTGGCGATATTCTTTGTCTGGTGAAGAAGAATCAGGAATTTAAGAATGTCTTTGAAAATATCGAACGATCCTTTGAGAGCCGCTGGGGACTTTTGGTCACAGAGCGAACGAGTTCTCTAGATAAGCTACGCAAATTACGTCACAAGGTTGAACAAAATACGCCTTCTGGAGTCCGTCTAGAATGGATTAATTTATCTGGAAATGGAATTGTGATAAGATGTCCAGACAACCACCACTTTTTGGGAATCAGAACAAAAAATTCAGAACTAGGAATTTTAACTATAAAATATTTAAATAGTTTTGCAACTAGTGTGAAAAGTGGTCCTTTTGAAGGAGAGTTATGTTATCAGATAAAATTGGCTGAAGGTGTGGAAGGATTTATAACATTGATAGTGAATGAAATGATCCTAACACAAAGCAAATTACTGAATGAGTTTCTTGACAAATCTACACCTTTAAAGCATGTAGCACATTTTCTCTTTGAATGTTTATGGGAACATACCCTTACCAAAATTCCTATGGACCTCATTGCAGACATGCTACCCATTATGCTCCTAAAGAAATCTTTTGATAACATAGATATTTCCAAGTCATATATCAGAACAAGAATTTTAATTGATTGCTTAAAAAACATCAGACGCTATATCCAGAGTATATCTGCCCCTTCAGAAATACCAAGAACTTCTCTTCAATGGCTAAAAAATACTGAGGAGGAGATTATTCAGAGGTGCTTGGTTGTATACCACGAAATTGCATGTCATGCAGCTGTGGACATTTCTTGTCGTGAAGAAAACGACCAGTTAGAGACATATTTTTCTTGTATCTTACCTGTGGAGTCTTGGAGTACAGTCGAATATGCTAAAGAATATGCAAAATTTAAATTAATGAAAATAACTGGCATAGATGTATCAATTCATTTATTGGATTTTGGATTGATTAACGGTATTAAAATTGAAGCAGTTGGAACAGATATCCAACTAATGCGTCTCAACCAGGCTCTCTTTGACCTTTCGGTAAAATCTAAAAAGATAACAGCTACGAAAAGCGGACAAACAACCATCGATGGTACCTGCACCTTTACAATGTTGTTTGAAGGGAGTAGACAAGAAAATGACGAAGTAATATTTCTACCCCACAGAGGTTTATGCCAACACAATCATACCATCAGGAAGCGGTATCACCCCCGTCTTAGAAACCATAGTGATGGATGTAGTGAGAATTTCTTTCAAAGTTCATTTCTCTTACAGTGGGACAAAATCAGAGATGAATATAGTGACATCTTTCATGGCGATTTGAGCATTGTTCTTGCATTTGGGACATTTTATATCATGGATATAGAGAAAAGACACATGCCATTATCAGAATTGAATGAAACTTTGCAAACTTTTGAGGAAAGACGCGAACGTCTTAAATCTGAAACGCATGGAAATGGTCACGTCTGTGTGCCTTATTCGTTCGCTTTTTTACCAATGCAGGGTGAATCAGACGACCTTAAGAGATTTCTACATGCTTATTTTAATAGAGAAAATGTTCAAAGGAACGTAAAAGTTAGAATTGGAAGGTGGGGTATGTGTGACCTCGATGACCATCTGCATTTCCTTCAACTTGAGGTCCCTCAGATAAAATGGTTTATTGGTCAAATAATACGAAAGACAACACAAGAAAACGAAGATGGAAACTCCATTGACATTAGGTGCAAAATTCAGTCGTTCAGAAACTTGAACAGACACGCTTTGCAAACTGTCGGAGGACACGGTGACCTTCTAAATCATAGCAGAAGTGGAGCACTCATTAGGAAAAATAGCGAAGGATTTATTATTAACAACAATAATATAACATTTATTAGAGAGAAAGAAACAGAAATTTATTCGAATAAAACCTTGAACATTCAAGAAAGAATTTGGCGCACGTTGCGTGTAGAGGTGTCTAGAGTGAAGGAATATAGAGTGAAATCATGTCGATGTAAGAAGATTTCAGAAAGAACAGAGGTAGTTGTAGTACCATTTCTACCTGATATCAAGTCATCTGATGAAGAGATCAGACAATATGCAAAACAATTATGGGAAACAGCGCTTTTCTTTGCAAATAAATTTGACAAGTAGTTGTCAATCATTTTTGTATATATTTGTTTACTGGATTGCTTCCCTTAGGTGTTGCTTAACGATCAAAAATCCATTTTTAAAAATCAGTTTCCTTTCCCTGTTCACATATTTCAATTGATTTATTTTTTAAATATATTTTTCTAAAGATCAGTCACTTTTACGTTCTATTTTTCATTACTGTATAGAAATGTACGTCGCACAAGTCTTGTTCTAAGTGGGTTTTTTTATTATTTATATTTGTGTCTGTTTCATACAAATTAATTACTTGTTTTAAAAATGTAGCAGAAAAATATAGAAAAATATTCATCGATTAATATACCATAAATTATAAATCTTTGAAATATATTCTTTATTTTAAATTTATGTTTATTTTTATATTCATTTTTCATGTCTACTATATAAGAACTTACATTCATGAACATATTTTAGACATTTTTGATACATAACTACTTTTTTCAAATGTTTTGTTATAATCATGATTATTATTGAGTTTTAAGATTCTGTCTCTGTCCAATTTTTATTAAATATACGAGGGGCGTTCAATAAGTCAAGCAACATACGGTTACTAATAATAAATCTATCAGTCTAGAAATGCTATTTAAAAAAACTCACACAATCAGCGAAAACGGCACGTGTTTCCTTCTTCTTAAGAAATTCACTTTTGAAGTAAGTATGGTCACTGCATTGAGCTGAAAACTATTTTCGGCTAAATTAATAAAAAGTGAGAGCATATATGTAAAAACTGCACCTCGCTGCAAAAAAAAAAATGCTGAAGAACATATATGTAAGATGTGATTTTGATATCTAAAAAGGTTTTTCACACTGTGCAATGTTTAGATGAATTAAGAAATCTAAAAATGAATATGACAAGATCACTTGTGAACTTTATCTCTTCTTTCCAAGATCCATCGGCCCAATTTCAAAATAAATTTCCCATTAAGCACCCTTGAGTTTAGTAATTTAATATTTGTTCAAAAAAAAAAAGAATGCAACCATTCAGTGGGCAGGTTATCTAAAATTAGAGAAACAATTAATGATATCTTTCAAAAATCCTCTCTTAAACTACTGAACCAATTGCAATTTTGTGGGACTTCAATACAGAGTGTACACTTGTTAATCTTCAAATGACCCCGTGGATATAGGATCGTGCCACAAAAGACGGTGAAAGTTTTTTTTAGCGTGATTTCAATTGACTTTCGATATCAGACTCCCCTCCCCAGTGGGTTTGCAGAATTATTAATGTATATATTGAAGCAAAAAATAATACTGATGACTTCCGGTTTTTTTTTTTAAAGTTTTGTACACGCCAAATGTCATAACTTCTTCACTACATATGTTAGATACTGTAGTATGATTTCCAATTAACATGTACATGTATATTTTCACGTTCGATATTGTCATAATTTAACACAACACAATACTGTCTACATTAGCTTTTAATAGACATTTCTTATGGATGCAATTAGAATATAAAGTTCGCGACAACCTATATATCTAATATCCGATATAATTTGTATTGTTTGAATGGACTTTAAGGTTGAATAAATGTTCTTTTCTCCATATATATGTATTTCATTTTAACCACCGATTATGTATTGCTGCTGGTGAACAATCTGCCCCCCACCCATCCCCGGAGATTTGCCATTCGGCAACTATTCATTCACGAGTACAAAGAAAAACAAAATAATGCTGACAGACACCATTATAAACGGCGTCACTCTTTAGAGCACAGACTCAAAAAAATTGTTTGGTGCCCCTCGGATAATCCTCAGGGATTTTAAAAATATGTCATACGAGTCTTCAGATTCCCAGTTATATCAAATATAAAACTAATAGTTTGTTTTTAAAAAATGGAATAATGTGAAGTTTCTATTAGAGATATACATGTTGTATTTGAAAATTCCTTTCCGACCCCATTTCTTTTTCAAAATATTCTGTGAAAAATTGCAAAACTTTAGACGTTTTGAATACCTACACTTTTGTTTTACTAGCAATCCTACTTAACAGATCTTCTATAACAAAGATTGAGGGCGCTTTTGATTGGCATTCGGCAAGAATCTGGGCGTTATTGAAAAGTGAAAAATTTATCGACATTTTACATGAAATTTAAACATTTCTTTATTTATCGGGTTCTGTGCAACGGGAAAGGAAAATATTTTCACGAAATTGAGCTTTGATTTGCTAAAAAATAACTTGAAAATTGGCCAGATCAGACATTTGGTACAGAATGGTATATTTTTAAACACATTTTTCTAAAAATTTTCCATCTCTGGGTCTTCTCTCCATGATTTTTAAACGTTATTTGTGTATTTTAATTCTAAGAAACGAAGACACATTTTTAAAAATTGAAGAGAAGACCCAGAGACCACGAAAAATGAACTTCCCCCAAAAAATCTATATGTGTGAATGTGGTGATTCTTTGTTCTTTTAAAATCAATTGTATATGTGTAGCGGTGATAGCTCAGTAAGTTGGGCTACCTGCTCAATGCGCTCAAAGCGAATAGTTTTTGGTTCGAGCCTTGCATGTGGCGTTAATTTTTTTTTTCATGCAAACAACAATCCAAGGGGGGGGGGCAGCCCCCCCCCCCCCCACTTTTTCCCCCAACATTACCTTTACTATTGAAAATGTACATTGAAAGGTTGGTTGGCCCCCCACTTCTTACCACAGCATAGTGAAGTATTGTATACCAAAAAAAAATGGAAGTAAAAGGAAGTTGGCCTTGGAAAAAGTTGGCCACTATAACCCCCCCCCCCTCCACGAAATAGGATTTTCGAGTTTGGACAATTTCCTTTTTTTTTTGCTTGTCAAGTTTTACAGGTAAGTAAAAAAAAAAAATTCTATGGTTGCCCCCCCCCTTTCAAAACCGATGCTACGTGCCTGCCATCTATTTTGTCAGTTTCGTTTTATGTACTGGTGTATTAAAATTTCGAATCAGATAAATTTTGGTTCAGTGTGGTTCTCGTTCGAAATTATTTCCAATCTACTATTCTATAATGTACATGTACACGTATCTTGCATCTATGCATTAAATATTTAGGTGTTTATTTTCGTGAAACATTACTATGTTATAGTACCCCCTAGGAAAAACGGACATAAATGTTACAATCTCTCAAGTTCTTTCAAACTAAATGAAAAAAATCTATGGACGTGGTCGTAAAATCTAACCAGTTTAGCCAACCAAATCATGGGCATTTAAACTATAAATGTTTCGTACAAATGATTCCTGCAGATCACAATCCAAATGCGCCCATCTTCTTTGGGAAAATCTGAACTGCGGAACTTCTTATGTTGTCTACGGAATACAATGTAATCTTTGTGGACATATAATTATGTTAGTGAAACCAAGGGTTCGCTTAATCCTTAATCGAAAGATACTAGGACATGGATTTCAAATTAAAGAAATGGGGACCAGCAGCTTCAAATTCTATACAAACAATTTACTTTGTTTTAGAAATTAATTGTTTGTAGAACATACTCCCTCGTATTGAATCAACCGAGAAAAAAACCCAGCACGTGTTAGCGGTGTATTGTAGTTTGGTTGTTGTTTTACTACTGGTATCAACTTTTCTTTTTCACTAAAAATATTCAAATATGAAATATGTGTCACATTGTGTCGTATCTTTTATTTCAAGCTCAATGTAAATTGATAATACTTCTATATAATTATCTAAATGTCGAGTTGAATCCACAGAAAGTGTTTCTCTTCTCGTGAACAGATCGAATTTGAATACGGTATTCAATTCTGCTTTATATAAATACGAAAATAGGTTTGTTTATTACTTGGTGCAATTAGTACACATGGGAATTCCGATAGAATGTTGAAAGACCTCATTTTCAAAAATCACAAATATATTGTCAATCAAAAACTCGATCAAGAATCTTTTTTTAATAATCAGCTTCAGACGTATGGTGTATATAAGAAGAATGTTTTAAGCATATTTTTAACATACATGTATCTAACAAAATTGATAATTTTGCAAATGACCACCTGCACTGAAAAAGTAAGTAAATTGACAATATCATCCTTTTTTGTTATTGAAAAAGCAGCTGTCAATGATGTCTAAAAGCAGAGACCTATGTACTTGACACAGGCAATTCATATATGATCCATTGTGGAAACATGCATTATTAATTCAATAAAGAATTGAAACGTGTCTTTTGAAGAGTGAAAAGCTGTAGATAATTCCTGTTTTTTTTTTATTTTTCAGAAAAGGATATCAATTTAAAGGTTTGTTTAACCTAATAAATATTCACTGTTCCATTCAGTTCTTTTTCAAAATGGCTTAATAGACATTCCTCTTGAACAATCTACTTTCGGTTTCGACATCATTTCCAAAAATATATGTTTTGCGAAAATGTTTAGATGTTAAAAGTAGACCTAATCATAGAAAATGTAATCCAAACTTTATTATAAGGTTTAGCAAAGTGTTTGTAGTGTCTTAGTTATAGATATACAGCTATGGACCTAATGGAAGGCAATAACCTTGGAAAAAATATACAGTGTCAAATTGCCATGAATGATACAGAAAGTGAACCGGGGAATAATAATGACCGGACTCGGCCAAGCGATCCAAAATCGTCGGATAATGATCAACAAGATGGAATACAAAAACGTGATGAAAAAAGTAGACCAAAGATAAGAGATAAATACACTGTGAATTTTTACTACTTACAGGCCGCTGATTCGGCTCGGAATCTGATGAGGACACACGCCACGACAAATACCAATATCGTGGATGAAGAAAGATTAGGTATATGTATTAGAAAATGCTGCCTTAATCTATAGATATGCACATTGGAAATTGCGGTACCCTTTGTTTTGTTTTATATTATTAATTCCCTGTTACACACATTTTTTTTACTATGCATCAAACAGCCTCTGTGAGAATCAAGTTCCTATAAATTGTGTTCTAAATAAAATAATCATTAATTTGAATTCAACTTTTACATGTTTATTTTGGGTGTGTTATCAATTATGGGTTGGCTACATTAAAAAAAAATGATTTGTTTAGTAACCGGAATACTTTTTTAGTAGTAGTCAGTTTATTTTCCTCCATTTTTGAAGGAATCCAACATTG